GGCGGGAGGCCACAGCTGCACCCCTGTCCTGCTCGTGAGTTTCCTGGGGCAGGTGCTTGGCCAGCGTGTGAACAGAAGGCTGGACTCAGTGGACCCTGGTTCTGATCCAGCAGGGCTCTTCTTGCATTCTCAGAAACTCAGTGGGACTTCTGAGTATAGGGTTGCTCTGTATGTTGGCAGATGGCATGTAGAGACCTGCCAATCCTTCCACTTCTAACTGGTTTCTTGATACCCCTGGCCCCCTATTATGCAAAATAAAATCATCATTGCAGTTCCATTATTCCTTTGAGCTGGAATGGTTCCAGTTCAACATGGACATGGAGGGGTCTCTAGCACAGGGTTATGCAAACTGGTGCCCTCCAGATGTCGTGGGCCCCAAACCCCACCACCATGGACCAATGGCTAGGGATGCTGGCAACTGTGCTCCCAGTTGTCTGGAGGCACCAGGTGACCTCCTGTCGCTCTACTACCATCTTGCCCCTTTGTAAAACTGCCCTTTCCTTAGCTTGACTCCCTCTCCTCTCATGCCATTATGTTCATGCTCCAAAACGACCTGTCCCCCCACATGGAAACATAAACACAGGAAATGGTTTCACATTCCTTACATGTTGCTCGCATGGACCCTGATATAAGCCTGTCCTTAGTCTGAAAGGGTAAAAACAGTCAAGGAAAATTAGCCCAGATATTACTGGAGCAAAAACCTCATTACCTGAATGAATTGCAGAGCACAAACACGACAAAAGACATTTGAGTTAGAAGGTGAAATATCACACAAGGGCCTGGTAAATAAAACCAGCCAGATCAATTTCTGTTCTCCTCTCCCGCCTGCCTGCTCCCCCCTCATTCATCATCGAACGTGTAGTGCACAACCGCTGAAGCACTTATGATAAAATGTGGCCAGTTCCTACTGCATTATTATGAAAACAATGTATAATTTATGGCACTAGAATGCCAATACTTTTCTTAACAGAAAGTCACCGCTGCCTAAGATGTGCTATAAAAAAGCAAAGTCCAGTGGTTTCCCTCAGAGCTTGCAGCTCAAATCCCATAGCCTGAGCTAATCATGGCCTCAGATAGCGATAGAATAGCACCACTGGGATTTGGGAAGCACCGGCTGCGGCAAACATGACTCACCAACAGAAAACTCACCTCTTTACCCAGGTCTTCGCTGACTAAACAAATATTTTAATACATTCTTTTTGAAAAGAACTTAGTTTTAAAATACGATTAAGCCATATGTGAAAGTATTATTAGTGAGAATGTTACAACAACCTCTCCTTCTATATGTTTCTGCCTGGATCCCTGCATCATCTTGAGAAACTCCTCGTTGGAAGCCCTTCTTCCTTTGGGTGCCCTGTCACGGGAAGTTAGCTAAGTAGCAGCAGCGAGGAGGGCCTGGGTTGTACTGCCCCATTTATGGAATGATCTCCCCAGAGAAGCACGCCTGGAACTCAGAGGTTTCTTTTCTGCGCCTTTGTTCCACCCCAGCTTTTAGTCATTAGAATATGGCTATTTTGGTATATGGCTTCTCGACTCGATGCATTTACTGTGCTCTTGCGATCCCCACAAGGTGCAAGGAAAGTCCGGTATTCAATTTTAAACCACCACAAGCTGGAACAAAAGCCCCGTGAGAACTTGCAAATCAGCTGTACTGTAGCCATACTGTAACACCATGTTGCGGTTGGTTAATGGAATATGCAGGAAGGCAAACTTCTGTGGGGCAGGGGAACCCTGTGCCAATCACACGTTTTCCTCCTCCAGTGAAAGCAGAGAAAACCTCAGTGGCTTAAAACCCTCATGTGGAGAAGTCCTCAGATACAATAAGCAACGAGGGTGGGG